ATGCTCACTAAATTTGATTTAAGAGCTAAGCCTTTTTTAAGTCTCTATACCTGACCTCATATACCCTTTGGAAAAAGGTACAAATTTAGTCTTTTCCTTTTGGTTGCTTAGGTATATAGTGTTTAATCACACTGTGTTCATTCGTTTATTATATAAGGACTAACATATGGAAAAATTCTGTATAGAGTTAACACCCAATTGTTGACTTAGTAATTTAATTATTGTCTATGAGAGAAAGAGCTCCCCACCAACTCAGGGTGACTTTTAGATCGGCAGGTAAGCACTAGAGCAGATACTCACGATCTGACTTTTTTATATCCTTGAAGTTTTGTGAATTTCAGACTGGGCTTACCTGTATGTGCCTGTAATGACACAGTAGAAATATAGCTTTGTAATTTTCCTCTTTCCTTTTACTGTCACAATGAACCAAGGCCAGAAATAATAAGAGGATATTTTGAAAAATTTTATGTCAATAAATGTGACATTTAAAAGAAGAAGAAGAAGAAGAATGTGATGTTCAAACTAGAGTTGTGTGGGAGGAACAATTGAGAGGATTTGTAAAAGAAGCTTTTCCCTTGTCCCCTGCCTTCTTCTGCTCCACTGATTCTTATCAAGGAAGGAAGAGCTAGAATACACAAATGGAAAGTGAAGGCAAGGTTCAAACAGGAGTCTTTTAAGGATATTAAAGCATGCTGGAAACGTTTCGGACCCTCATTCAAAAGAAGTTATTTATGCTCTGAAATCCAGAGTATAAATAACTTCACATTGAATTTTAAACCTTTGCTCCATATATTTTTAAAACAATATAGAGCCTTTGCCTTAAACAGTAAGAACTACTCTGAGTAGAACAGAAAACGTTACCTGAAAACAAATTTTTCACCCTAACCAAAGAGTACATGGATATCTGCCCTTCACACACTGACCACCTGAGGTGAGAAAATTGAGCAGAAATGCAGTCTGACCTTTAGGTAGACAATGCATTGGGATGGGAGTTGGGTGAGAAGACTGCTCTGAAACCAAGTCTCTGAACTTAGTGAAAAGTATTTGGAAATGGACAAATGGACTCAAGTTCAAATATTGCCTCTTTTGACTTTTTTCCTGTTTCTTATTTCTCTAAATCTCAGTTTACGCGTCCTCAAGTAAGAATATGTACTTTGAATGGTTGTGTGAGAATTAAATTAGATACCTCTAAAGAGCACCTAGGGAGCTCTGGTGGTGTAGTGCCTAAGGTATTTGACTGCTAACCATAAGGCTGGTGGTTCAAACCCACCAGCCACTCCTCTGGAAGGAAGGTTAGGCAATCTACTTCCATAGTGATACCACTTCGGAAACGCAAGGAGAGGTCGCTGAGTCAGATCCCACTCAACGGCAGTGCATTTGGTTTTGGTTTGGTTAAAGAGCCCCTAAGGAGCTTTGGTGGCGTAGTGCCAGAAGGTTAGCAGTTCAAACCCACCAGCCACTCCGTGAAAGGAATACTGGGCAATCTACTTCCATAAAGATTTACTACCTCGGGAAACCCAAAGTGGGTTGCTGTGAGTCGGAATCAACTCGATGGCAGTGGGTTTGGTTTTAAAAAGCACCTAGGAGTTCTGGTAGCTTAGTGCCTAAGGCACTTGACTGCTAACCAGAAGGCTGGCAGTTCAAACCCACCAGCCACTCCTCGGAAGGAAGGGTGGGCAATCTACTTCTGTAGTGATACCTCCTCGGAAACCCAAGGAGGGGTCACTATGAGTCGGGTCCAACTTGACGGCACACAACAGCAACAAAGCACCTAGTAGATCCTCAACAAACTGAGCTTTTTGGTTGATATGTTTTCAGGCTTCATGGGTGTTAAGTTCTGGGCTTTATGCTCTCAGGGTTGGTGTGGAATGAAAGTATGGGAAGTAAAATGAACTAGAAGAAGATTGGGCGATTCTCATGTAATCTGAGTAGGAACTCAACCATTTCCATCAAAAATAGTCAAAAATTACAAAAAGAGGTGGTGTTGCCAAAGGTATAAATGCACAGAAGTGAGAGAAGAAAGATGAGACCTTTCCAAAGGGAGGAGTTCTGTGCTCAGTGTTGGAAGGAAAGGAATTGGAATGGGGATGGAGCAGGTGGGGCTAGGGCAGTCAAGCAGTGGGGGAGGAGGGACCTCAATAGATGCCATGAGGAATAAGGGGTAGGAATCCTCCAGGTGACAACTGTTGTTGTTGTTATGTGCCATCAAGTTGAACTGACTCAGAGTGACCCCTCCTTGGGTTTCTAAGGCAGTATCACTACGGAAGTAGATTGCCCCATCTTCCTTCCGAGGAGCGGCTGGTAGAATGGAGGATGAAAAGGCATGAAAGGACGAAGTTGAAGCTCCTGGTGGAAAAAGGTGAGGTGCTAGCATACGGAATATGATTGGACGCCCTGCCAGCACTCTCAAATGCCTTTGCTCAAATGAGTAACAGATTTTGTCTATGCTGATTCAACTGGCTTTGGGAATTTTCAAGAAAAACTTAAAAGTGATTATAAAGGTAATAGTTGTAGAAAATGTGAACAGAAATTGGACAAATATGACAGAAAATGTTACCCATTAATTCATGGCCTAAGGGCAAGCACTGTTAACATTTTGATGTCTTTTCTTCCAGTTTTTAAACATATATATTTACCACAGTTGTACAAATTTTGTATCGTTTTTATTTTTTACTCAGACTCTTATTTTTTCCCATGTCAATGTCTTGAAACATTCTTCAAAACATCCTTGCATCATTAGTCCTTTGAATGGATACAATTTCCTGAACCAATACTTTGTGGTTTGAACATTCAGGTTATTTTCTTTTCTGATTCTAGCATAGACAGCATAGAATGAATGTAATAGTCAAAATAGCTTTCAGTTTCATAGAATCATGGACTCTTTTTTCCCAGGGGGGATTGAAGGGGACATCCCTACTGTTTCTGATCTCAGGCAGGACGGCAGGGAAGCCAGAGAGAAATTGCCAGAATGAAAGAGTAAAGAAGCACCTTAAGAGTTTGCTCAGATATTCTCCTTCAGAAGGGTCTCTGTGTGCTATGAACAGTTAAGTGCTTGACTACTAGGCGAGAGGTTGGTGGTTTGAACCCAAAGGCTCCTCAGAAGACAAGCCCGGTGATCTGCTTCCACAACCTTGAAAACCCTATGGGGTTGTCATGAGTCTGAATTGATTTGATGACACCGCCTTTAGTTTGATTTGGTTTGGGGTATGGGAAGTGTCCTGGGAGCACACAGCCTTGTGAGGAGGAGTTCTAAGGGAGGGTGCTTGACTACTGAGACAGCTGAACCAGCCTGTGGAGGTGCCACAGCCAGGAACTTTTCTTTCCAAAGCAGCCAGGAGATCTTCTCTCCTCCTGACCTTCTTCCAGGTCAGTAATTTAATTTTAGTTGATACCCACATTTCTTTGTTTCTGCTCTGCTGAAACGACAGACCACTCAGAGGAGGGTGGCTATTGTTTGAGTATTAGGAATCCTGCCCTACTATCTTCTCCCTCTCTACTGCCCATTTTCTAGTCCAACAGCTCTCAAGGGAACATTTGAACATTGTGTGTATTTTGTAATTACAAATGATGAAGTGGGTGCTATTGACATGTATGGGCAGGGCAGGAGTGTAAGATATTCTTCAACGCACAGCCTGCACAATGAAGAATTGTCCCTCATCCAGATTCTCAAATGTCCCCCAGGACATTTCATGTAGGTGAAAACTTGTGTTTAATTATCTGAGTCTAAAATTTAATACAATTTTTTTTTTAAATGGTTTTAATATACAGTGAACTTTCTAGGAATGCAATTACAGTTCTGGGTATATTTAGGGAAGACTGAATTTGCTACCAAGAGTTGTTCAACATTTCATTAAATCATTTCATTGATGGCAATATGCTGGAAGTGGTTGACTCACCAACTCAGCACCTGTATCACTCTGCGTGTGTAGCAACTTCTTTTCTGTGATTCTATGGATAGGTATAAGCATCTGCCTACCTCATTATGACTTCTCCTGTAGTTGGGCCTCAGGACTCACACATTCAAAGACTGTTTATGTTACTTTACTACAAATGTCTTTTCTTTCCACCTTTATAGTACAGATAAGGAAGCATTTTGACTTTTCAAAAGTTCTGTGTGTGGGTAGGTTGTATCATCCATGAATTTCAATTGAGAATAGTAAAGGGGTCATTCAAAAATATTTGTATAAAAAAGGGCGGAAGGTAGAGAATCTCAGTTGCCTCCTTTCCCTGCCCAAATTCACACCCAGAAACACACACACACACACACACACAGCCTGTAGCTGTCAAAAGGCCTGCACTTCCCCACCCTATCTCTAGAGCTTCTATTCCGTTGGTTAGTCAAGAGATAATGGTTACTAGACCCTGTGGGACTATAGAAGATAATTTTGGCTCCTGGAGGTTTTCTTCTCTCGCTTTTTTCCTCCCCCTCCTTCTGCCTCAGTTTCTCTCCCTGATGCCCTTCCTCCTTCTTTTGCTATCAACTCTCTTTTCTATTTCCTACATGGAGTAGGCGAGCGGCAAAGCTGCTGGACCCTTGGAGACGCTTTGGTCTCTCAGCTCTCTTCCCCACCCAACTCTTCCTCTGCCTAGGGGACTTGGGCCGCTCCATCCCAACCCCCAGTTTTCCTGTCTGACCCTGGCTTCTCCTTGCTCTCCCATCCGCCTCAGTTCTTCTCTTGTCCCTAGGCCTCGGCCTCTCTTCTCTCACCCCATCCAGGTCTGCCTTCTCTTTGTGTAACCGTCTTTGTTTCACCTGCATCCATTGCAGACTCCCTGTCTCAGCGCCAGCTCCTCTGCCTTTGGCTCAGGTTCTCTCGCCCCCAACCCGGTTTCCCCAGTCGGTCCTTCGTGGTGCTGGGTGCCGGCCCACGGTGCGAGCACCCCGGTGTCCCCTCCCTCCTGCCGCCCCCCCCCGGCGCTGTGGGCGGTCCAGGGCGGGGCCGGGATCCGGGGCGGCTCCCGGGGCTCGGGTTGTGGGAGGCGCCCTCTCGCCGGTCTCCCCCTTTCTTCCCCCCGCCCTGTCTTCCCCTGCACCCTCCTTCTTCCCTCCGCCCGGGAGCTTTCCCCGGTGCCCGGCGCCGCCTCCTTCCCTCCTGGCTCCCGGCTCCCGCCGCCGCCCGGGGAAAGCAGAAACGGGGGTGGGGTCTGAGGGAAAGGAGAGAGGAGGGGAGAGACCCCGGCCAGGCTGGAGGCCGGATTCGAGGGGAGGAGGGCCAAGAGGAGGGGAAGGTGGAAGAGGGGGAAGGCGGGAGCTGGGAGGAGCGGCCGGGCCTGGGGCCTTGAGGCCCGGGGAGAGCCGGAGCCGGGCGGCGCGCCGAGGTAAGCACTGGGCCCGGGAAGCAGGGCTTGGTGAGGGCGCGCGGGGGAGGCCGGCGAACCGCCTGGCCACAGCCAGGGTCATGCAGGGCTGGGGGCAAGGAGGAGCGGCGGGGAAGGGATCTGGGAGCCGTGAGGCGGCCGATGCGGGGAGCGTGGGTAAGCCGGCTCTGCCTAGCCGCGGGGGCCGGGAGAGGAGGTGGTGAGAGGTGGAGTCCCGGGAGGGTGGGGGGCCGAGGGAGGCAGGAGGAGGGTGGGGACAGGCGTCTCTCCTCCTCTCCCCCCACCCCGTGCCGGGCTCCGCCCCCGCCTCCTCCGCGGGGTCCTCCACTCGCCCCGGGGCTGAGCCGGGTCCGCGCCCGGTAGGAACCGGGAAGGGAGGCTGGGCTGCCTCGCGGATCGGGACGCGCCGGCGGGGCTCGGTCTGGTCCTCACCGCTGCCTCTTACTCAGATGCTGCTGCTGCTGCTGCTGCTGCTGGCGCGGCTCTTCCTCCGCCCCCTGGGCGCGGGCGGGGCGCAGACCCCCAACACCACCTCCGAAGGTGCACCCTCCTCCGGCGAACTCGGGTCCTCCTCCCCACTCCTCCGTTCCCTGAACCCCTCTTTCCTGGTCCTCATTACTGTCCTGTCAGCCCCACATAGCATCCTAGCCCACATTACCTGACAACCCTTTCTGTTCCGCTCCACGTTACTACTTCTGACCTCCTTTCCATCACCCCACGTTACTACTCAGCATCCCCTTTTCCTCTGCCCCATATTACTACACTAGGCCACCTTTCCGTGACCCCACGTTATTGTCTTGGCCCCTCCCCCCTTTCCTGGCGCCATATGTCTAGCTCAGTTGCTCCTTTTCCTTGGTCCCCCATTGCTGCCCAGGTAGCCTCATAAAGTACCCCCTCTCTTCTCATCCTATTCAACAAAAAAAAATACCGTCGTTTAATCCTTCTTACTAAGCTCCACTTCCTATCAATACCTTCACTTCTTACTTTTCTCCATTAGCCCCAACCAGCACCCTCCTGTCCCTACTTGTGGTCTCTCTCCGTAGCCTGAACCCTGGCCTTAACTCGCAGTACTTCAGTCCAGGCCTCTGAACCTGACTCCAGTCTCTCCCCCTAGCATCCCACCCCTCTACCTCTGTCCTTAGCCTGCCCACTGACCACGCTTGATACTCCTGGCCTTGGCCTTCGGCAGCTGACTCTGCCCTTTTCCTCTTTCCCACCATTCTTCTTTACGCCCCTCCCCTCCCGGACTCGTCCCTCAGGCTGCCAAATCATACACCCGCCCTGGGAAGGGGGCATCAGGTACCGGGGCCTGACTCGGGATCAGGTGAAGGCTATCAACTTCCTGCCTGTGGACTATGAGATTGAGTATGTGTGCCGGGGGGAGCGCGAGGTGGTGGGGCCCAAGGTGCGAAAGTGCCTGGCCAACGGCTCCTGGACAGACATGGACACACCCAGCCGCTGTGGTGAGTAACCTTGCAAAGCCCCTCCCCTCTTCCAGACCATTCCTCTCGGTCCTCAGACTTAGCATTGGCCACGTGCAAAGTCAGCTCTTTAAAACACGTGTAACCAAATTCACAAATGCATTTATTGAACAATTACTATGTAAAAGGACTTTGTTGTGTGCGGTTGGAGTTAGTAGGGTTAGCAGCCTGCACACTTAATTTCATTCTCCCTTTATTAGGCTACTGGGAATTTGATCAAATAACTTCTGATTATTCATCTTGTGAGTGATTTCTCTTTGAGAATCATTAGTGACAGATTGGGCAAAACAATTCTAAAAGGATTTTATGACATTTTTACATACGTCTGTCTCTCATCCAGACACTGTATGCCTTGGAAACAAAAGTCACTTTAATGTTGATATAAGCTAACTATAATTAGAAAGGCAGATCTAATTGTGCATCCAAAGTCATCTACATCCACACGTTTCAAAGCCAGAGAAACGCCCACTGTAGCCAACTTCGAAAGGACCCCATTTTGTGTGCTTATAGCTCCATCTTGAGTTCCTACAGTGGAAGTGCCTTCACCTTTTTTTCTTTTGGGAATGTGTAGGGTTAAGGGAAGTGTGGAAGCTAGGGAGGTGAGTCCTTTTTATACCTGATTTCCTGCAGAGTAGGAATCAGTAGACTGCTTGTGGACCCACACCCCAACCAGAACCCCCTCCTCCCTAAGGGGAAGGAGCTTCCTCCAACTCGCCTCTTTTATTTCCTTATCTCTCCACAGTCCGAATCTGCTCCAAGTCTTATTTGACCCTGGAAAATGGGAAGGTTTTTCTGATGGGTGGGGACCTCCCAGCTCTGGACGGAGCCCGGGTGGATTTCCGATGTGACTCCGACTTTCATCTGGTGGGCAGCTCCCGGAGCATCTGTAGTCAGGGCCAGTGGAGCACCCCCAAGCCCCACTGCCAGGGTGAGGGGAACAGCTGCCTGTATGCAGCTTGTGCAAGGGTGGGAGTGGGTGGGATGGGATGGTGGGAAGGGCTAGAGCATTGTACAAAATGGGGGGGGGGCTTGGGGAAGCAGAAGTGAAGGCCTCACTCTTTCCTCCATCCACCTGCCTCTAACTTCCTTCTACAGTACTGGTTTCCACTTGTATAGTGGGGGTTTCTTTGACTTTAATTATGTCTTCTCTCTACATGCCAAGTCATCTTCTCTTCCTTTATGAATCTCACCCTCCCTCATCCTTAAGATTTTCCCTAACTTCAGACCCTTTCTTTATACTTACAACTTAATATGTACCACCTTCTTTTAGAATTGATCCCTCCATATTCAATAATATATTTCTACCCTTTCATTATATTATTACAAATTTTATGTCATATTTAGAAAATCTGATAAGATTAGAAAGGAGATCTGGAGATGGAAAAAGGAGGCTCTGGTGGTGTAGTGCCTAAGGCACTTGACTTCTAACTAGAAGGCTGGCAGTTCAAATCAACCAGCCACTCCTCAGAAGGATGATTGGGCAATCTACTTCCATGGAGATACTGCCTCGGAAACCCAAGGAGGGGTCGCTATGAGTCAGATCTGACTCCACGGCAGTGAGTTTGGTTTTGGTTGGTTTAAAAAGTACTAAAATTGGAGGCAGGATTTCCAGAGTGTCAAAGATAGTCTAGGGTGAGGGTAGGGGACAGTTATTTTGTATACCTCAGTTAACTCCCAGACAACCTCCTTCATTCCCACAGGGTGTTGTGTCTCCCTACTTTTTTGCTATCTTGTTCAACAAACTTCTTTGTCTTTATCCTTGTGGGTTTCCTTACTTAACTCAGTTATTCTACTTTTAGTTTAATTCTGGAAATTGGGAATCCTACGCAGGGGGGGTTTTACTGTGAAGCTAATGAAACTTAAGCTTCAGGGTCTCTCACTTACAAGGGTCTCTTCCAGTGTTCTAATAATGGAGAGGAATCTAGTAATGTGCTCAATAAACTGCAGTAAAATTTGCTAAAATAAGATATTCTAACAGCCACTGGTTAAAACCAATTGTATTTGTAATATATTTGTCTTAAAGAGAGACTCCAAATTTTATAATCTTCAGACTCCACAAAAGTAGGACCACTCCTGCCTTAGCCCTTGTCAGCCCTATCCCAAATTCCGTTGTCCCATGAAAACTAAAAGCAGAAAATCAACAATTCCTGACCCCCAGCCCCACCTTGCTCTTATCCCCAGGCACCCTCCCCTCAGAAACGCAGGCTTCTGCACTCTCCTGTTCGGCGTGGACTGGTGTGGGAGGGGGCTGGGGATCAGGCCTGGGAAGCTGGGCGCAAGTGGTAACTCTTCTCTGATCCCGTCTTTCCTGCTGCCAGTGAATCGAACGCCACACTCAGGTGAGATGAGAAACCCTTATCGCGTGCACTGCAACCCCTTACCCCTCACTCTTCACCCTCCACCCTCAGGCATTCTGGGCCTAGGCTGTAGGGTCCTGTCCATCTCCCACCTTACCCCCGTCCCAAGTCGCGGCCGTTCCCTTCTCCCTACCTGTTTCCTGCCTCCAGTCTCGGTTTTCCGCGGGGCTGCGGTCCCTCCCTTCTCCCTGCTTGGCTGCACTTCCCTCGGCTCCGCCTCCTCCCAGATTCAGCTTCGCTGCCAAATGGCAGAGCCCCAGCAGGGGGCAGCAGGGTGCTGGGAGACCCTGAGCTTAAACCCCATGGAGTTTCTTTCTCCTCCGACCTTCTCTGGAACATTTTCCTGCCTTGCCCTCTCCCAAGGATTTCACCTAGCTATTCCATCAGCCCATCCCACTCATCTCAACCTTGGCCAGGCCTCTCACGCTCCCTCCTTCCTTGCCTCCCCGGATCCTTTCCTTCCCGATCCCGTCCCCCCCACCTTTTCTTTTTTCAATTTCTTCTGCCAACACCCTTTCTCAGTCTCTTTCTACCCAGCCCCAAGTTCCTATCCTCTGTTGCTATCACTCCCCTCTCCACACCAGTTCCCCCCTTTCCCCACCTAACTCTCTTTCCCCACCCAACTATCTCTCCCCAAACCGTCCAATCCCTTTCTTTCACAACCCTCAGTCCTTCACCCCCTCTATGCACACTCCACTTCAGACATTCCGCGGCAGCCTCCTTTCCCTCGAGTCCCACTGTGGTCCTTCCTTTCCCCATCCCTCTCTCCTGGAGTCTTCAGTCTCCCGCGGCTCCCTCTGTCCACCCCGCCCTCCTGGCACGCCCCTTCCCAGCTCTACTCGAGTTCTGTCTCCTTAGGTGAGACCCCTCCCTTGCGAGTGCGTTCCTTCCCCCCGACGCGGTCGCTGCGCTCGCATCCCCTCCCCTCCCCTCCCCTTTGAGTGGCATCGCCCCTCGGAGCTCGCTTCCCTCCCGCCCCCTTCCTCCCTCCGCCTCCCTTCTCGTGTCCACCCCCCCGCTGTCGCGCGCCGCCCGTGACGTCAGAGCCCCCTCCCAGCCCCACATCTCCCTCCTCCTCCTCCTCCTCCCCTCCGTCGGTCAGTCAGTCCGCGAGGAGAGTCCGCGGTGGCGGTGGGGTGAGCGGGAGCTTCGGGGGCAGTAGGAGGCTAACCCTCCCTGCTTCCCCGGGGCCCTAGCCCCCTGCTCCCCACAAAACCAGGGATGGAGGCGCCTCGTCGACACCCATTCAGCAGCCCTCCCCGGGAAAAGTGTCCCCCCTGAGCTCCTCCTCCTCCTCAAGCGGCTACCCCCGCCCCGCCACCATGGGTCCGGGGGCCCCCTCCCCCCGGGTGGGGTGGCCGGTGCCGCTCCTGGTGGTGATGGCGGCGGGGGTGGCCCCGGTGTGGGCCTCCCACTCCCCTCATCTCCCGCGGCCTCACCCGCGGGTCCCCCCGCACCCCTCCTCAGAACGGCGCGCAGTGTACATCGGGGCGCTGTTTCCCATGAGCGGGGGCTGGCCCGGGGGCCAGGCCTGCCAGCCCGCGGTGGAGATGGCGCTGGAGGACGTGAATAGCCGCAGGGACATCCTGCCGGACTATGAGCTCAAGCTCATCCACCACGACAGCAAGGTAGCTCTGGACTGAGGAGTGGGTGGGAGAGGGGGGCTTGGGGGACAGGAGGCCTGCTGCGCGCGTCTCGGTTGAGTCGCCTCTGGGCTTTCGAGGCAGACCCCTCGGATGTGTGACTAGAAGGAGCATGGGCTGGGGGTGTGGGAGCTCAGTGAGAGTCGCAGGGGCTAGTGGTTCAAGGTGGTTAATCACGTTGCAGGGCAGACCCTTCATTCGCTGCCAAGACCCCGGAGTGAATGGAAGTGCTGGGGTTTGGGGAACTGGTGATGGATTTAGGGTTCCAGCTAATCCAGCTTGGGGGAGTAAACTAATCCTGGAGTGGGTTGGGGGATGGATGGACTGTCAGAGGTGGGAAGCTGGATCAGAGGTTTATGTTTACCATGGTAACAAGGTAAGTCTTGGCGTAGGTTGGGGCTTGAAGGAATAGAGACAGAATGAGGAGAATTGTGAGGGGCGTGAGTGCTCTAGTTTATTTATCACAACAAACAGCAAGGTAGCAGTGAACCCTACCTGATTCCTTTTCATTCCTATATAACCCTGTTGAGGATTCCTGGACTGTAGGAATGAATATATGGCATATGGTGGTTGGGAAGGTTAATGGTCAGGAGATGAGCAGAGGCACTGAGAAAATAGATTACATTAGGGGTCCCAATGGGAGCCCTCACAGTAGCCTGGGGACAGGGAGGATTCAGGTCAGAATGCAGGAGAAGAAAGAGGGAACCAGAAAGAATGTGGGTGGGAGGCAAAGGAGAGAGTGGGAATAGTGAAAGATCCAGGGGCATCATATGCAACTTGAGCCCTGAACTTATTTTCCCTTATAGCATTATGGCTTCTAGGATGTGAGAAGGGAAATGAGATACTGTATAGAGTTAGAAGAGGAAGGAGAGAGGGGAAAGGTAAGAAAATTTGGGTCTAGGGGAACGATCTTATAATAAGATTTCTTCCCCTTTCCTGTCCTCTACATGAATAACTGTGGGAAGGATGTGGGAGAGGAAAGGAAAGAAATCATACTAATCCTTTTTGACAGGTGATCCCAGAGACTTAAGGGATTGGGGGAGGGTGAAATAGAGTATAGAGGTGAGGGTTTGGTGATTTCACACATGGAATGGACTGAGGTTTTACATCCATTCTTCAGAACAACAGATGTTGTTATGTGCCTTCGAGTTGAACTGGACTCATAGCGACCCCTCCTTGGGTTTCAGAGGCAGTATCACTATGGAGTAGATTGCCCAACCTTCCTTCTGAGGAGTGGCTGGTGGGTTTGAACCACCAGCCTCCTCCTGGTTAGCAGTCAAGTGCTTTAGGCACTATGTTACCAGAGCTCCCAGAACAACAGTATAGACATAGAAATAGGTGTGTGAGTGGGGAGGGGGCAGAAGTAGACGTGAAGGTAGGGTGCTTGAGGAGAAGCGTATAACACATATTAGGGACTTGGAGAGAGAACTCCAAACCCCTCCCCCTGTTAGCTCCACAGTGGTTCTTCAACATCAGTATTCATAAGAATAACCAGAGGAGTTTTTAATACAGATTCTCAATCAGAAATGGGTCCTGGGTATTTGCATTTTTACCAAGAGCAGTCCTGCCCTGGTGGATGCCCCAGAATGTCTATGGGAAGAGCAGTGGGGTATGAGAAAGGAATTAAGTACAAGGGGAGGGGAGGTAGATGGAGAAATAGAGGGTCAGAGATGATGGAAAGGTCAAGCTTAGGAGAGCAAGAGACCTAACTGGCTCTGAGGGGTGAGGGAGTGTGTGGGAAGAGAGAGAGGGAGAGATGGGTGCAAGCTCTGTGATAGGGGATCACAGAGCGATAGGGGAGCCCTGACAGTTCAAACTCATCCACCATGACAGGTGATTCCCTGGAGGTGTTGGGGGAGCAGATGGGGGACCTGGGAGAAAGGAGCTGGAGGAGAAAATAGCAGAGGCAGCAATGGGGGAGGATGGGAAGGCAGAGGAACTGGGATGTGTCGTTTCCTGCCTGCAAATCCAGATCCTTGCTAGACCAAAAGGGAGGGGGAGAACAGGGAAAGTCTGTTGGGGAGGAATAAGAACTTCATGGTCTCCTATGTGCCCTGGACAGGTGGAAGAATAGCATGTGGAAGTGGGGAGAGGGGTGTAAGAAAAGGTAGCTAAGTCATGAAGAAACTGAAGAGACATTGGGGCAGCATATACATTGTCCCATTGGATATATATTATATGTTCTTGTTCTTATCAACTTTTTCATGAGGTAACACATAGAGCGGCATTGAAGGGACTTGGGAGAAGCTGGGGGCAGGATCTGGAGTAATAGGTGCTGGGAGAGTACAGGAAGGTGGGACCTGCCCTTTACAGGGGGTGGGGCTGGACACAGGGAATTTTCGGGGAGGGTTTGTTTTTGCAGACTCTGCCAGCCTCCTCTGGCTCCCTCCTCTACAACTTCCCACAGTGTCCCAAATGTCAGGCCTCAGTGGTAGGTGAGCAGGCTCTAGGGGGCTTCTTTATTTCTTTTCTACTTGTTCCCCCATTACACCCTCCCCAGTTGCCTGTGGCTCCTGTCTGTGTCCTCCCTGCCCTCACTCCCCACTGGCTTCCATTTCTTCTCCTTTTCCTTTGGAGTTCCAGCAGCTTCTGAAATGTCAGATTTCAGCAGGAGGGGACTCTGCAGTGGGAGACCCATGGCTGGCTCTTCCCCTGTCTTCCCTCCTGCCATCCTTCCTTTCCTCTCTAGCTTTCTGAATTATTTACTTTCCCCATTTCCTTGTCTTTCTTTCATGCACTCTTAAACATTCTATTTATTCTCCCAAGGTTCTTTCCTCATTCTTGATTCTTCCCCACCCCCACCCCTTAGAGTACCTTTTTTTTTCTTTTCCCTAATGGACCCTTCAAATGTCAGGGCCCAGCAGGAGAGGAAGGATGGCTGAGCGGGACCCCCTAGTGTCTTGTTCCTCTTCTCTCTTGTTTACATATCACTAGCCCTGAAAAGAGAAGAGGAAGAGGGGAAAGGAAGGTGGGGAGAGGGAATTTGCATGGGCAATGGAGGAATTTTCATAATATGGCTTTGAGGATGCTGCCTGGGGACACGGGGAGAATTTATTCCTATTCTTGTGGACTCTTCCCCAGCCACAGATGTTTGAATCATGGAACTGTGATAATGGGCAGGGGTGATGGAGGAGAGATAGGCTTGGGGATATCTGAGGATGAGCTGATGGGGGAGGGGGGGCTGCATATGCATTAATATGAAGGAGGGGTGTGCAGGAGAGGAGATGGATTAGGTGCCAGATGGAAGAAAGAAAAGGTTGTTTAACAAATGAGGAGAAGCCAGAAACTTCACAGGAAGAGATGTCAGGAAGGAGAAGAAAATGGTAATAATGATGAAAGGGATTCAGCAGAGGGATGGGTAATGGAGTGAGGAACTCAGCTGTCAAAGATAAAAGAGTAGAAGCAGCGGGGAAGGGAGGGGTCCTGGGAAAGCCTGCTCTCCTCCTCCCTCCTCATTCAGTGTGACCCAGGCCAAGCCACCAAGTACCTGTACGAGCTGCTTTACAACGACCCTATCAAGATCATTCTCATGCCTGGCTGCAGCTCTGTCTCCACGCTGGTGGCCGAGGCTGCCAGGATGTGGAACCTCATTGTGGTAAGCAGGGCTGAGGGAGTCAGAAAGTGGAGCTAGTCCCTTTTGGGCTGTACTGAAGGAAGGGGTGGGGATTGTGGGTGTGTATTGAGGACTGTTGAAGGACCCACTGCTCCCAAGATTCAGAGCCCTTTGCAGACTCAAGCCAGTTGGCATCTTAGCAACAGTGGCCTAATAATGTTGCTGATGACCTCATTCTTCATCAGAAGGGTTTGATGTCAGATCAGTGGAAGAGCATTCTGATTACGAGGGAATGGGCCTTTGAGAAGCATTTTTCCTAGGGCCGAAGTGGGGAGGTTTGGAGAGAGTGGGGCATAGAAGCCTAGAAGCAGGAGAGGGTTAAGGGAACTCTTAGTAACATGGAATCCATGAAGAATACATATTACATTATTCCTGCCTCTCTTAGCTTTCCTATGGCTCAAGCTCACCAGCCCTGTCAAACCGACAGCGTTTTCCCACATTCTTTCGAACTCATCCATCAGCCACACTCCACAACCCGACCCGTGTGAAACTCTTTGAAAAGTGGGGTTGGAAGAAGATCGCCACCATCCAGCAGACCACTGAGGTCTTCACTTCGGTGAGGAGGGACGGGGTAAAGGGGCTTCCACTCAAACTGGTGGAGAGAGACGTGACACAGGATTCGTTTTCTGGGGAAGATCTTGATTCCATATGAAAATGGGTTAAGTGCACTTTCTTTCTGTAGCCAGAGGAATGAAAAAGTTGCGTTTTCGTGATCTGCTTTAGCTTTTTTGGTCTATCTTTTTTTTTTTTCCTTTTGATTCTCTGTCTTCCAGACAGATACACCCCACATGACTCACTTCTGTTAAAGCAGGTTCACTCCAGAGTTGAGGCAAGAGAAGGGAGGGGCTATGAAATAGGGAACTCAGGAAGATGGCAGATTGTAGAGACACTTAAGAGGGAGGGTGGGAGAATGGGAGAATGTAGATGGGAACAGAGGGAATGGAGCTATTGAAATGGATGCTGGGGACAGACAAGTACATATACACGGTCTGATAATCCAAGATGTTGACTGACAAGGAGAGGTTGATGGCTTGAGAGGGAGGGGGAGATTTGCGCAGCTAAAGAGAGGAAATACTTGGCTCTACACTCGAAGGAGTTGATGGGTGGTGCAGTGGTTAAGCACTCAGCTACTAATGGGAAGGTTGGTGATTTGAACCTACCCAGAGGCACCTCAGAAGAAGGGTCTGGCAGTCTACTTCTGAAGGTTGCAGCCATTGAAAAATACTATGTAGCATAGCTCTGTTCTGACACAGGTGAGGTCAAGATGAGTCAGAATTGATGGCATCTCTTTGTTTTTTTTCCCCAACACTTGAAAAAGGCTTCACTCCCTCCTTTTGTTCTTTTCTTTGGGTCCTCTGTGTAATGTTCAGTGACACTTTCATCCTTAATCTAACTTCTCTCTCTGATTCAGGCCGCTCTTCTCTCATCATTTTGTCTATCTACCACTTGCCTCCTGAAGTCTATACCTTCTTGTCTCTACCAGACAATGTCTCCTTTTCTTGGTTCAGATATAATTTCCCTTCCCCCATTGTTGCTATCAGTGTTGAGAATGGGGTGGATGGAGTGACCTTCCGAACACAGATCCTGTGGAGGGGCTCACCGTGCACCTTCCCGCTGAAATGCCACATCCTATGACTCTAAATGCTTCCTCCCAAACTTTCTTCTTTGAGGAGAGAAGCTTTGGAGGGAGGTTCCGAATGGCTGCTTCTTTGCCTTGAGTGTTCAATCCCAGTTAGCATCTCTGGCCCTTAACCCATTTGTGCACCTCACATTTCTCCTACTTGTTTATCATTTCTCCCCAAGACTCTGGATGACCTAGAGGAACGAGTGAAAGAGGCTGGAATTGAGATTACTTTCCGGCAGAGTTTCTTCTCAGATCCAGCTGTGCCTGTGAAAAACCTTAAGGTGGGATGGCCAGGAGGGTGGGCTCAGCTTGGGGATGGGTGGAGGGTAGGGGGAAGGGGGAAAGAGCTGCAGCTGGTTGAAGATAAGCAAGGGGTGGGGTTAGGCTTTGATTCTGGGAGGCAGCAGAATCTCCTGGGGAAGTTTAATTCCATCTTTCAGTTGACATTTATCCACTACCCATTGAATAGAACCCTACCCTAAGCGCTCTGGGATGGGAAATCGAAGATGTGACAGTGCTTACCTTAGCCCCTCAGGCATTTCCAGGCCTCTCGCAGGAGCTCTGTTTTTCTCTCCACTCTGTAGCGTCAGGATGCCCGAATCATCGTGGGACTTTTCTATGAGACTGAAGCCCGGAAAGTTTTTTGTGAGGTAGAATTGGAATCTGAAGAGGGAGTGGGACTGGGTGGGATCACAGCCTTGGGTTTCTCATGGGTCTCCTCTCTGCATCCATGCTTAAAGGTGATAACAAATGATCATGTGAGTGGTTAGTATGATATCCCTATCTATTGGCTCTGACTCCATACATCAACTTTTCTTATTGGAACGTGCTCCAAATCTCATTTTCCTACTTATTTTGTTTCTTGAGGAGCCTGTAAATATCAACTTTCCTGACTGGCTGGAAAGGCTGCTCACAGGCTGGGAAGAATTGCCCACCTTCCCCTATGGTCCCTAAAACTTGTAGATTTTTCTTTTTAACCCTGCTGGTCTTCTTTGATTCTCAAGAGGCTGAATAGTATAAAGTAGAGGCTAAACAAAATATAGCAAAACAAGAATCCACCCTCTTTCTCTGTATTCAGGTGTACAAGGAACGTCTCTTTGGAAAGAAGTATGTCTGGTTCCTCATTGGGTGGTATGCTGACAATTGGTTTAAGACCTATGACCCGTCCATCAACTGCACAGTGGACGAGATGACTGAGGCAGTGGAGGGCCATATCACCACTGAGATCGTCATGCTGAACCCTGCTAACACCCGAAGCATTTCCAATATGGTGAGACAATGGGGACTCAGGGATGGGCTGTCAGAGGCGCCTGAAATAGTGGGGGTGAGCAGGGGGATGGTGCAGGTATGAAGTTTGGAGGTATAAGAGGGGAAGGAGCCTTTAAACTTGTTTTCCTCATGTTTCAAATGGATTTCCACTCTACTATGGATTCCTATGGGCAGGAGAAAGAAACGAGAGTGGTTTGTTCAGTAGGCCCCTGATAAATGGAAGGGCTGTTGCCATGGGAACAAGGAACAGTTGGTGAGAAAGTCATATGAGGGAGAGGCGTTAATGATAATATAGACACTTGTCTACGCAAGCACACCTTTACAGGAGTGCTGTTCCTGGGCACAGATACATTTTATTTTCTCAGTGACGCATTTTAATACTTCAGAGTTGTTTATAATCATTCCTGATTGGTACTCAGTTTGCTAGGATCCTGATGCTTTTTTGATGATTCTTTTTAGAATTTATTTTTTATTTTAAGAGTTTGTTTGATATTCAACGTTACGTGTACATTTAGTTTCACTTTCCATTTACCATATCTAACCCTAACCCAGTCTCCTCTCCTCCCCCTGTGCCTCTCATAGTTATGCACTCCTGTTTGTGCTGCCTTCCTACCGTGTGAATATTGCCCCTCTGGTGCCCCGTGGTCTATTGCTCCAAGGGATGTATTTCCATAGAGTTTGTGGGTGCATCCCCCTGGGTTGAGTGATCTACAGGTACATCTTGTTAACTATTGGGCTGAGAGCCAGCCCCTGGGAGTGAGTTTTATTCCAGGTGTAGAATGTATTCCAGGGCCATAGTATTAGGAGTCTCACCAGACTCCATCCGACTAGTAATTCTGGTCATTATTGTGTTATTGGATTTTGTTCCACATTTTTCCTCCCACTCTATCCAGGATCTCCAGATTTGATCCTTTCCTGAGTGGTTGGCATTGGTAGCTGGGCACCATCTAGTTCTTCTGGTCTCGAGGGCCATTGTGTCCTAGGGCTGATTGCTTCCAAATGCCCTTGTTTTTTTTAACTCTTCTTCACTTCCAGCACTAGGAGACCATTAGGTGCATCTTAGATGGCCGGTTGAAAGCTTTTAAGACCCCAGTCACTACTCAACAATGTAGGATGAGGAACAAGGCTTTTATGTATTTTGTTGTGCCAATTGAGTCTGGTGTCCTCCAATACTAGGTCCTGAGCCAGTAGATCTATTAGATCTCTCTCCTATAGTGTCTGGGTGTCTGTAAGGGATTGCTCTGTGTCTGTCTTCTACTGTTTCTGTAAGGATTACAGGTATTTTGTATCACTGGTATCTGTGCAAGATTAGCCTGCACTGAATTTAGATGTGAAAGGAGCTTTTTAAATCATTTTGCCCCAGAGAACTGGTTAGTGATAGACCTGGTGTTAGAAGATACATCTTCTGACTTGGGAGAACTGGGGCAGCCCTGCAGGTGAGGTGCACAAGTGAGGTGGGGAGCATGGGGGTGGGCGGAAGTGGCTCTTCCCTTGCTCAGCACCAGATCTTAAAGATTTAAAGAGTCTTGTGTAAGGTTGGTAGGATATCTACTTATTAAACCAACTCTATTTCCCAGGTCTATAATACCTACTTCGGAGAGTATGTTGGGGGATGGGGATTGCAGATTAATGATTGTAATGTTCCTGAATATCTTTTTAATAAAAATTTATAATCGCTTTTGAGTCCCTAGGTGGCACAAATGGTTAAGTGTTCCACTACTATCTGAAAGCTTAGCAGTTTGAACTCACTTAGAGCTCTGGTGGTGTAGTGCCTAAGGCATTTGACTGCTAACCAGAAGGCTGGTGGTTCAAACCCACTAGTCACTCCTCAGAAGTTAGATCGGACGTCTACTTCCGTAGATATACAACCTTGGAAACCCAAGGAAGGGTTGCTGTGAGTCAAATCTACTTGACAGCAGTGAGTTTGGTTTTTTTTGGTTTAGAGGTGCTTTGGAAAATCTATGGAGAAGTTCTACTCTGTACACATGGGGTTGCCATGAGTTGGAATGGATTCAGCTATAACTAACAACAATGGTAATTGTTTTATGTAATGACCAGGAACTTATATACATGGTTTTGGTGATTCCCACAGCAATGCTGTGGTATAGATTTATCATTTTCATTTCATAGACTAGGACATTGAGACTTAGAAACCTTAAGTGACTTGACTTGGGTCATGCAACTACTAAATGGCTAGGCTGGACTTTAATCCTAGTTGAACCTAACTCCAAATCATTGCCCCATCACCTCCCATGGAAATTGTGAATACTGATTAAAGAGCTTGGATTTTTATTTGCTCACGTTGTTTAGCAAATCACAATTTTTGAGCAAGGGAGAAATAAAATTGAGAAAGCTTGTTGTGGCAGTGGATTTTGGGAAAAGGGCCAGTTGCCACACTGACTCTGATTGTGTATATTGTCTTAGGACATTCTAAAGATACTCTATATTTAAGGTATCTTGGCATTGAAAAACAAAACACAGTGAAAAAATTCTGGAAGGTCACTTCCTTGCAGAGCATCCTTGAGGAGCTGGTGAAGTAGTGAAGCTGGTAACCAAAGCCAGAAACTCTGGTTGGTGCTCTGAGCCCAGACCTGCCAATCATGGCTCCTGCACCATAGCAGGGAAGTAAAGGAGCCTCTGATAAGAAGTAGGGACTTGGTTGCAGGTGCAAAGAAGGTGGATGACTTGGAGGGAAGTGGCTAAGTTGGAGCGTCTGTTTTTGGCTGTTAGAGAAAGATGGTGCTACTTTCAAGGCCACAGGACTTTGAGTGACACCAGGCCTGCTTGGCAGCCTAGAATGCCAGGTGGAGAAGCCAAGATTTTCCAGGGGGAAGAAGCAGCCTTGCTTGGACTAGGAAAGAGGTAATGGAAGAATCAAAAAGGATCCAAGAGGTATGGATCATGGGCTAGGGTTAGACCTAGAGGGTCCAGAGCCGTAGAGCCTTAGGAAAGAAGCAGAGTTACTTCTTTTGAATGAATTCCTCAAGGATGGCCTTACGTTTAGATCAGTGGTTCTCAACTTTAGTTTCTGTCAGAACCACTTTTTGAGGGTCTGTGGATACACAGATTTCTAGGCCCCTCCCCTAGAAGCTCTGACTCAGTGGGTCTGGGGTGGAACCTTGGAATTTTCATTTCTAATAAGTCCTCAGGGATGCTGCTGCTGCTGATTAGGGGACCACACTTAAGAGAACTATTAATTTAGAGCAGTGGTTTTCAGCTGCAGAGGATTTTGCCATCCTCCTATTCCCCAAGACTATTTTGCAGTAAGGATGTTTTTGGTTGGGAATGAGTAGGTAAAGGCCTAATGGGTAGAGGCCAGGAATGCTACTAAATGTTCTATAATGGATAGGACAGCATCCACAACCAAGAAATATACAAATCAAAATGTTAATACAGTGCCAAGGTTGAGAAACTCTGGTTCAGAGGAAAAGTCTTTAGGGGCTAGACAGGGGAATGGATTAGGGTGATTTCACAGAGAGAATGTAGCTCTGGACTAGAGCTAAATAAGGTGGGGGATGCATACCTGGGGATGAGATTGTGAATAAATTCTGAATTGGAGTAGAGGTCCCATCAGATCTGGGTATACAGAGCTACCACAGGATGGATGCACATTTTAGATCATTGCTGGGCATCCATTCTTAGGTATAGAGATAGCCAGACAGGGCTGCTAAAAATTAAAATCATAAACTTGTACTCTGTTAATTCACTAATTTCTGTGCAATATGATATTTTTCTGTTATTGTCTACTTTTCCTTAAGCTGTGCAGGGAAATTTTCCCTTGAAAATTGATATCTATGTCTTTGCTGAACCAAGAGGGAGATTTCTTTTGAATACCTTCAGTCTCAAGAGGGAGGAGAGTAGTGGCCAGTTAATGGTTGTGACCTGGAGCAAGCACAGAGTGAGGATCTGGGTGGCAGAGGGCATCATGCTGAGCAGGGTAATCCTCTCCCATCTGGGTGATTTTCTTATGGAGTGTTTACTCTGAACTGAAGATTGGACAGACGTGGTGGGCAAAGGACCTTTCAGAACATCTTGACCAAGCTGCTGGCTGCTGAGCAGGTACTGTTGGAGAGAGGTAATTCTGTGTACAGAGGCTGTGTAGAGTGGTTGGAAACAGTATAGGCTTTGGTGCCAAGCTGTCTAGATCTGAATCTCAGCTCTGCTACTCACTAGCAGTGACTTTATATAAGTTCCTTAACTTTTCTGTGCCTCAGTTCCCTAATCTCTAAAATGGCGATAATAATAGCATCTACCTCATTGGGTTGTCTAAGGATTAAGTATGTTGATGTATATCATTTGGAAAAGTGTCAGGCACATAGTAAGAACAATGTAAATGTCAATTCTGACTCATAGTGACCCCCATTGAGTTTCCAAGGCAGTAAATCTTTACAGAAGCAGATTGCCCCATCTTCCTTCTGCTGAGCAGCTGGGGGTTTTGAATTGTCAGCCTTCGGATTAGCAGTCAGATACCGTAGGCACTTCACCACCAGAGCGCATATAAACATTGCCTGTTATTATTCTGTATAGGGAGAGAGAATATTAATAAAATGTTTGTGAAAAAGGAATTAAGAAGTCTTGGTGATGTGGAAAAGTCTAAGGTGATTCCAAGGTTTCAAGCTCATGTACTGGGGAGTATTAGAGTTGAGGAAAAAGCAAGCTTAGATTCGGATAATTTGAATTTGAGAGGATTGATCATATAGTGTCAGAGATATAGGACTTGAGATAATGGACTGGAATTAGGGACCTGAGCATCACTAAGAAAGGTGAAGTTGAGAGGTAGGGAAGTTCACTAAGAGAAAATGTAACTTAATTTATACCCAATATTTTATACGTGTTCTTATTTCATTCTATAACTCTTTAAGGTAGTTACTATTTACTCTCATTTTAAAGCTGAATAATGAACTAGTGAGGTTTAATAACTTGTTTGAGATTATATAGCAGGTAGTAGATTAGTTAGAATTTGGATTCATCTATTCATTTATCCAGCCAGTGGAAATTGATTGTTTGTGCATATGGGCTGGGCATAGTACTAGATACTAAAGGTTGAGAAAGGAATGAAGCCTGGTCTGATCCTCAAGGGCAGTAGAACACAGGTCTGTTGTCAAAGTTCAGGCTGTTCTCCTACACCACACTGCATGTGTTTTTTGCATATCTTATTCCCCACGTCTCCAGAAAGTTTGAATGGAAAGAAAAGTGGGTAAACCATGGGGAACAAAGATTTTTGTTTTTTATTCATCTGTTCATTCCTTCATTAAAGTATATGTGTTAAAATATTCCAAATCCAAATAGTGTTATTTATGTAATGTCTCTGTATTACTTTTACCTTGCCAAGAAGTACACTTCCACTGAGCCTTTGTTGGGTTCTGGGCAGTTGTGATTTCCCCCATTATAAAAAAAAAGACATGTCTAAATGGTTAAGCAGTGTACCTATGGTTATTTGGCCAAATGGTAACTTGTTCTGCCAAGTGCAGAAATTCAGGTCTCTTGACCCATTTTACGACAAAAAGAGCTACCATTCTTTTTAGCTTTCTTGGGAAAAGAAGGTTGAGGGGTAAGGGTATGGGAGTAGGGATTAAATGATAGACTTCTTATCTGTGAAGGGTATTTCTACAGTCCTCAGTCTCCACTGAAAACCCTGTAAGATGCAGTAGGCTGAAAGCATACCAGGATGACACATTAAAGAAAAAAACTTCCTTGTTGACAGGGGGGTGTGAGACTAGAGGGAGAATGTGAGAAGGCTGTGGCTTTATCTTTTCTGGGATCTTTTAGAATTAGAGGAACTGTTAGGTTGTGAGTTAACTCCATTGAGAAAATCTGAAGGATGAGAGAACATCATCACAGAACATCAACTCTTTATGAGAATATCCACTTCTTTTCTTTTGTTCTGTCTCTACTTTCCATCCTTTGCTGTTCTCTATCCAAAATATTTATGAATTAAGCTTCTCTATGTTAGTAGCTCTGAGCTAGAAGCTGTATATACTAAGACCATTGCACTCACCTAATCCCTGCTGTAGTTTCATAGCTGCCAATTTAAGACAGACACAAGAATATAGTCAAGATTTTGAATGTATATGTACTCAGCTTGACAATATCAAACACAAACTGTCCATTCAAGTCAAACTGTTGGAGCTGGGTGGAGAGGGAAGCGAGAATCAGATGGTGACCTCCTTTCCCACCTCACTCATAGATATATGCTCCAACCCAGTCCTCCCATAATCCCTTCCTAGACATCCCAGGAGTTTGTGGAGAAACTGACTAAGCGACTAAAAAGACATCCGGAGGAGACAGGAGGCTTCCAGGAGGCACCGCTGGCTTATGATGCCATCTGGGCCTTGGCATTGGCCTTGAACAAGACATCCGGAGGTGGTGGCCGCTCGGGTGTGCGCTTGGAGGACTTCAACTATAACAACCAGACCATTACCGACCAAATCTACCGGGCAATGAACTCCTCATCCTTCGAGGGTGTCTCTGTGAGTTACAGCAACTTCTTTTACACTCACCTGTCCTTCCATAGAGAGAAATTGCCTTAGAGGCTCTTTCTCCTGGAGACATGCATTCTGTTTCTCTCAGCTGCCTTCTGCAGTAATCAGTTTCAGGCCAAGGGAGTAGGGACCCCCAAGCCAGGAAACTCCACAAAAGTCTAGAAAGAAAAAAAAACAAAACTGGTATATTCTGTTTCTTTCAACCTCTTCCCTCATTTCTTTTCAAACCAGTCTGGATATTTGTGAGTCAGATGAGAATCACAGAATTTTAAAAGAGATATTCTGAAAGATCATCTCTTTATTCCTTGCAAAGTGGGAAAATTAGTGCCATGAGAGATTTAGTGACTTGCTTAGGTCACATAGCCAGAAGCCAGGTCTCCTGGCACTCTGTCTGGGGACTTTTCCTATTCAAATCTCACTGACAAGGTTTCTTCTCAAAAGAATAATGTTTCTGAAATCTAGGGTATGGGCATCTGGGGTATGTCCTATATGCAGGCAAGTGCCATAAATAGCACTCATTCAGAAGCTCAATTACATCAAAAACATAAAGATCGAAAGAGTCCCTAATGTTCCCTTTTCTCTCTTGCTTTCAAACTCTTTGCTTTCCACCAAATGTTTACCTCCCTCAGGGCCATGTGGTGTTTGATGCCAGCGGCTCTCGGATGGCATGGACACTTATTGAACAGCTACAAGGTGAGTGTGGGGGCATGAAGGGGTGGGTATGGTAGGGGGGCCTGTCTGGGACTGGCATAGGACCCACGTCTGACAGGAGAACACCCAGAGACATCATAAGATTGCTTTGGTACCTTCTCCCCTTCTCTTGCAACTGTGTTCATCAAACTTCTAAATAATAATACAGTTATGTGTCACTTAACATCCATGATATGTTCTGTGAAATAGGATATTATATAATTTGGATGTGTAAACAAAACACTATATTAAAACCTTAAGGAAGCCCGATTCTGGTTCTCCTCATCACTGCTGCTGGAGCTGCTGGCAGAGGCTAGAGCATCAGGCTTGCTGTTCCCCCTCCTGAGCAGCAGAAGCAATGGGGCCCCACAGCCATTGCAGATGCCTGCCCTCCAGACAGAGCCTGAGAGCCTGTGCCCAGACCCATGTCCTCTGTCTGTATCCCACCTGTGGCCCAGTGCTGCAAGAGTCTGCATTTGAGGTCTGTAAAACCATTAGAGGGAAATAATAAACTGCAGGACAGCTGTTTTCCCTTTCTATTAAAAAAAAAATCTTATGGGACCCCACAGTCATACATGTAGGACATAGGTGCAGTTGGACATTATCCAAATGGACATTAAATGATGCATACCTGTACAAAAAAAAAAACTTAGGTAGGGTTATGTCTCCTTGAGTTCAATGGTTGTGTTCTTGAATAGGAGGATGCAAATTGAAAACAACTGTTTTCTGTTTCCCAATGAATTATGTCTTAGTTTCCTATTGCTGCTATAACAGAAATACCACAAGTAGATGTCTTTAAAGAGCAGAAATTTATTTTCTCACAATCCTGGTGGCTAAAAGTCCAAATTAGAGTCTTGGCCGTGTCTATTTCCTTCCTTGTTGTTATTCTGGGACATTCCTTGATTCTTGGAGATCTTCACATGGTGTCTGTCTTCCCAATATGTAATTGCCCTTGCATCTAATCTAGCAGAAGTGATTAGGCTTCATTCACATAGCAAAGAAAACCCTATTCCCAAATAGGATTATATCCACAGGTATAAAACCAAAAAAAAAAAAAAAAAAACTTCACTGCTGTCAAGTCATTTCCAACTTTCCGACTCATAATGACCCCTCCTTGGGTTTCCAAGACGGTATCTCTATGGAAATAGATTGCCCATTTTTTCAAGGAGTGGCTGGTGGATTTGAACCACTAGCCTTTTGGTTAGCAGTCAAATGCCTTAGATGCTATGCCACCAGAGGTCCCTCCACAGGTATCAGGGTTAGATTTCTAACACATATTTTAGGGGACCAATTCAATCCATAACCCCTTGGATTTTAACTTAAGCAATTCCCCTTGGTTGGGTTGAGTGGAAAGGTTAATGACCTGTCAATGCATACTTATAGACTCAAGGAAAGTTGAATCTAGGAAACCTGTTATTTTTTAAAGGGAATCCATTTAATTTCCTTGCTATATAAACAATAACTCCTAATTTATTTATAGTAGGATAGTTTGTCTTTTCTAGTTTGTATTTTCTTAAAAGTTGGCAGTCTTATGTATTTGAAAAACTTCTATGAGTCAACTTTTCAGTTCCACCCCCACTTGTGGCCTCTTATAGCACTGCCAAGAAAGCCAGTTCTTGGCCTCCTGTGAAAGGTTTCTTTCTTCCCTTCTCCACACCTCCCACATCCTCTCAGATCTTCTTTGTATCCAGAACAAGAGGAAATGGACTTCAGCCATGGTGGAAAGGGTGTGAGTTGGCTCTTTAAGGAAAAGTTATAATAACTAGGTTAGTTCCATTCTGGAACAGAAATGTTAGGAATGACTGAATTTTATTTAGTGGTTCTTTAAGAGGCAGATTTAAGTTATCCAAGGAATTAAAACTCAAGCCAATGAAAGAGAGGGAAGAGAGATTTCTAAAATTAAGATGAAAGCCACTGGGAAAATACATCCTGTGATTCTGTCTATCATGAGAGGGAGAATAAACAGAAATATGTTTAAAGCTTTAACAACATGAACCAATGTGAGAGACATCTTGTAGGGAGAGGTGTGAGGCAGAGAAATGGGTGGCAGACATACAGTAGAGCTTTCCTTTCTGAAGGATTTTAAATACATAAGATACTTTTTGTAATCTGAGTTGCCTAGGGAACTACCTTACATTGCTTTTAAGTCAGGTTGCCAATTTAGGCATCCCCTCTGAGGTCCTGGTTTGCATCCTTTAGGGTTCAGGTAAAGGTAAAATCAGATGGAGCCAGGAAAAGTGGCTTTAGGGGAATAGGAAGTATAGAACGCCTGGGAACAACTCTTCCTCTGCCCATGGTCCCTCCTTCTACTGTCCTCTACCCAGGTGGCAGCTATAAGAAGATTGGCTACTATGACAGCACCAAGGATGATCTCTCCTGGTCCAAAATGGACAAATGGATTGGTAAGTGGATTCTGTTCATATTTTCTTTCAACTCCTTTGAATAACCCAGGAAAAAAGGGTCATCCATTTGAATAAGGGTAGAATGGGGCCTATCATTAGATTGGAATATGGCATGGGCTGGGTTAAAAGACACTGACTACAACCTCCAAGACGTGGGTAGGGGAAGCTGGTGTATTCAGAGAGGGAATAGGTGGTGGGTAGCAATGTGCTATTAAAAGTAGTATATTGCTGGGGTAACTGGGAATTAGAGGTAGGGGGTGGGAAATGGAAACTCCATTTGGGTTTCCCAGATGTCCTGGTGCCTTGATATATCTGAACCAGCTACTTCAAGCCTAGAGCTGCCTCTTTGTTTTTGTCAGGAAAACAGTTGCTTAAGCTATGGGAGGGCAGAATCTTCTGCTAAATGTGCTTTTTAATGAGGGAAAGGAAGCAATTGTTCCGTGTATACTTAGATGGATTAAATAACAGGAAATAGGAAAGGTAATGAAGGTGGATAAAAGACAGGACCTAAGGATAAAATGTACTCAGTCCCCTGGGTGGCACAAATGGTTATGGTTGGCAATTTGAGTTTCTTCAAGGGCACCTTGAAAGAAAAGCCTGGCAGTCTACGCCCCAAAAATCAGCCATTGATAACCCTATGGAGCAGAGTTCTGCTGTGGGACACATGGGGTTGTTGTGAGTTGGATCAACTCCATGGTAACTGGGTTTTGTTTGTTTGTTTACTGATCAATATGATAAATAGAGGGATTGGAAGGATGGAGGGGAGGCTCAGTCATTGAAGATAGATGCCATCTTCCAGCACTGCTTGAGTTTGAATCTTTTTTTTTTTGTTATTGTTAATAATTTGAATTTAGGACAGTGTTCTGCACTGCTATAAATGCTGCATGGCCTAAATTACATTTTTTTTTTTTTTTTAGCGAAGCAAATTATAAAAAATTTTTTTTAAACTCTACAGCAAATTTGTGCTTTCTCTTCATACAATTGAAAACACCTTTGCAACTGTCACCCTTTCAGGGTTCAAATCACAGATTAGATTTTTAAATTTTTTTTGGCCCAAGGTTAGGAGGCCAGACTCGATACTTGAACTACTTTAAGATCCTTTAGCTTTATGATTCTATAACTGTATTCTGCAGCTTTTGATTTGGGATATAAGAGACTACATAAAATTAGTCCCTCAGCTATCTCCTTCTTCTCCCTCCCTTTGCTAAAATAAAGACAGAATAATAAAAAGGACACAGAATAATAAAAAAAAAAAAGCCTCTACAACTTTGGTGATACACTTCAGCATTTCCCACCCTCTGGGTAGAACATTTGCTGTGTTTCGCTATCTCATTTCTGATTGCTTCATAAAAGCCTCCATGTCAGTAAGCATTCCATCTACAACAGCCCCTGTTCAGTGGCACTAGATCTCATGTCCTCAGAGGCAAGGATGAGAATGTCTGTTAGCTCCCTTGTACTTCATCCTTTTCTCCTACCCCGCCTTCATTCGTTTTTCCTCCTCCTTTTCTCCTTCCCTTCCCCTACTCTCCTCTGTGTCATGCAGGAGGGTCCCCCCCAGCTGACCAGACCTTGGTCATCAAGACATTCCGCTTCCTGTCACAGAAACTCTTTATCTCCGTCTCAGTTCTCTCCAGCCTGGGCATTGTCCTAGCTGTTGTCTGTCTGTCCTTTAACATCTACAACTCCCATGTCCGGTAAGTTTTCTTCTGTCCTGTCTGCCTCCCTGAGATAATGACCATGCCCCTTGAAGTTCCCTTCAGAAGTAGAGAAAGAAGTGAGCGAACACTAGAGTCCCTCCTAAGGCTATGTCTCATGAAGTTTTTCATTCTGACTTAGTGCTTTTCCTGTGACCACTGAGGATAGAGGGGTAGGGGGAAATGAGATATTACTCCTGTCCCTGCCACCAAATAGCTAACTGGAAAAAAAATTCCTTTGGGGTTAAGCACTGGACTAACCAGTGGCTAACCATCACTGAAAGGTTGTTGGTTCAAACCCATCCAGAGGGGCCTTGGAAGTAAGACCTGGCAATCTGCTTCCAAATGGTCACAGCCTTGAAAATTGTATGGAGTGTAGTTTTATTCTGCACACATGGGGTTGTCATGCATTGAGATCAACTCAGTGGCACCTGACAACAACATGGAAGTCATGGGCTCTGAGTAGAGTGCATGCCAGAGGGGTTCCTGTGTTGCTGGCAAGCCTTTTGGAGCTCTACCTCTAACCTCCTCCCAGAGCTGATCTCAAGACTCTGCTCCTGCTCCAAGCCTGTCTTCCTTTAGTCCTGTAGCCCTGAGGTTGGGGTTAGGCCATTGTACAGCATTTGGAGAGCTGAGCTTTCCAGGAGAAGAGAGATAACTTTGCTCTTTCCCCCTCTCCCACCCTCCCACCTCTACCTTAGTTATATCCAGAACTCACAGCCCAACCTGAACAATCTGACTGCTGTGGGCTGCTCACTGGCGTTAGCTGCTGTCTTCCCCCTTGGGCTGGATGGTTACCACATCGGGAGAAACCATTTCCCCTTTGTCTGCCAGGTGAGAAAGAGGTGGGCAAGCTTTGCAAAATGTGGCTCTTCAGTCCCCCCTCAGGAACATCTTTCATGATTTATGGTTCCCTTCCCTTCCTTCTTTACATTTCCTCACTATTGTCCCCATTCCTTCCTTCTAGCTGGTCTCTGTCTGGCTCTGTCCCTTTTTTCTGTGCCTCCAAACCTTGTTCATTCTGTGGTTCAGTTGTCTGTTCCAGGGTTGCCATGACATGCCTTCCAGAGAAGAGGAGGGAGGTATTGAAGATGAAGGAAGGGGGTGTGATCAAAGAACTTCTGAACAATGGTGGCTTGTCTGTGGTGTGGGGGCACAGAACCAGCACTGCAGACTTCCTGTGGGAGCTGGGGTTTGGAAGGATGGAGGCAGAGAACTAAACCGACAGCTGTGGGAGTTGCACAGAAGGGACCACTGACACACAGGGAAGAGGGCCTCTGGGATGCTTAGGACATGGAAGGTTCTGGGGTGTGGGAAAAGGCTGGCGTTTTGCACAGCAGTGTGATATTTGTGTGGTTCTCTATTATGCTTGTGGGAAACACGTACCCTCTCCCCTATTTGTACCCTTCCTCACTGCCTCTCTTTCCTCTGACCTGTGCTTGTCCTCATCATGCACATGGCCTTTGCACACACATGCATATCAGCAGGAGTTACCTGTTCCCAAACAGACACAAATCTGAATGTAGTGGGAGAGGCAGATCTACAGTTCACTCTGAGAGATCCCAGCATAGGACCTGCACTAAGTGCTGGGGGAGCAAAGAAGAGAAAACAGCTCCCAGTCAGTGGTTGGGCAGCCCTCACAAAGGAGGTGGCATTAGAATCTCAGAGGGTGCATGGGATTTTGTCAGCTGGAGAAACAGAAACACAAGAGACTTGAGCATGGCTGGAGCACGGGGGCAGGTGGGGGTGACTGGGAGAGGAACCTGGAAAGGTAGTTGGGACCATGTAGGCACTGAGGAGCAATCAGAGGTGTTTGACCAGTAGAACCAGGAGATTTTAACAAGATCATATGATAGAAGATGGGTGGGAGGAATTGTTGACAGTAGAGAGACTAGCCTCCTAATTTCCCCCTGTAGGGTATGTCATCTGTTCCCTGCTCACACTTCCCACTATAGCCCTGCCCTGTTCTGCCCATGCCCTCTCTCCTTTTCTAGGCACGCCTCTGGCTCCTGGGCCTGGGCTTCAGTCTGGGCTATGGCTCCATGTTCACCAAGATCTGGTGGGTCCACACGGTCTTTACAAAGAAGGAGGAAAAGAAGGAGTGGAGGAAGGTGAGCTTCTTCTCATTCCTCAGTCCCCACCTCTGGGGAATAACTTAGGTTTTCTGTGCTCAGAGGGTTTTCTTCTGACATGCCTGTCTGTACTCCATGTGTTTGCCAAGACCCTGGAACCCTGGAAGTTGTACGCCACAGTTGGCCTGCTGGTGGGCATGGACGTCCTCACTCTTGCCATCTGGCAGATTGTGGATCCTTTGCACCGAACCATTGAGGTACTACTTGAACAGAGGTGCTGGGGTCCAGAGGCTGAGCAGAGCTCACTGGTAGTCAGGGTGTGGGAACTGCATGTGGTCTTGAGGAATAAAGCTGCTCCATGAGAGAGTGCTTCCTAACCTTCTGTATATCAGCAGCTCTTCCCCTCTTTCCTTCTAGAAGGGGCCTAGAGGCCTCTGGATTCATGTGAAGAAAGGGAAGATGTGGTAGAATTCTGGTAAAGCTGTGTAGAATTCCTAGGCATCCTGGAAAGTGGAGAACAAGCACTTTAGTGTGTTTCATAAAATGCTCCAGGCCTAGGGTGAGACTTGCCATCAGTACTGAGGGTCTAATAGGAAGGAGAGAGAGAGTTGGGGAGAGTGGGAGAGGATGACAGCTATCTTTCCTGTGGCCCTATTTCTCCCTTAGACTTTCGCTAAGGAAGAGCCAAAGGAAGACATTGATGTTTCTATCCTGCCCCAACTTGAGCACTGCAGCTCCAAGAAGATGAACACTTGGCTTGGTGTGTGAGATGTGGCGGATGGAAGGGAACAATGCAGCAAACGCATGAGGGTGGGCAAGGACAGTAGGTTTGGAGGGAGAGGGGTCTTTGGGAAAGCAGGAAGAGAGCTCATGCCAACCCGGTTTGAAGTCGTCCTCTTTGCCATAGCATGAGTCTTTTATGAGAATAGGGGAGAGTTGGTTGTTTGCTGTGAGGTCCAAATCAGGGATGAAGCAGAACCTGCATTCATCAGAGGGACTATGGGAATGATCCCCACCCCTGTCCCTTGACCTGACCATCTATCTGGTCAGCTCCTTAGAGAAAGACTAGGATTTGGGCCCTCTTTGTTTTCATCCATAGCAACCCTATGCTCAGCCATCTTTCCACCTGGAGGGTAAATGGGTGAGACATTGTGTGTGGCTCAGGGTGACCCATTCCCAGCTGTTCAACAGGTCTTTGCCTGGCTTATAGCTGCTCATGGCCATCATCTTCCTCTGTGAAAGTTGGCTCCTTATCTGTGGAGGAAGTGGTGAGGGCTGGGTAGGTTGAGTGAATGTTAGGTTGGAGGCAGGGCACAAGGAATGCAGAGAGGGGTATGCTAGGTCAGAGGGGTTAGATTGGAGAGGAAGTCCCCTTTTCCATGGTGGAGCTATAACAAGGAGTGTCAGTGGCTTGAGATTGCTCATGACTTATTGTGCAGGGAGAGTTTTAGGAACTCAACAGCAAACCTGCAAAGATAAAGAGCAAAGAGAGGATAGGGACTGAGTGAAGGAGCTGATGAGATCCTATTGCCCATGTGCCCCTTTCTTGCCTTCTTAGGTATTTTCTATGGTTACAAGGGGCTGCTGCTGCTGCTGGGAATCTTCCTTGCTTATGAGACCAAGAGTGTGTCCACCGAGAAGATCAATGACCACCGGGCAGTGGGCATGGCCATCTACAATGTGGCGGTGAGCTGCCCAAACACCTGGCTTTTGACCTCATTGACTGACTGTAGCAGCCACATGTGCTAAGCTGGGGAGAATCAGGAGGTCTGGGATCAGCTGCATGCATTAAAAAGTTGTTAATGCCTCAGATTTGTAAAGCACTTTATGGTTCATAAAGCACATTACAAGCAATGTTTCATTAATCTTCATGTAACCACCTGTTGTTGTTGTTATGTGCCGTTGAGTAGAACCTGACTCACAGCAACCCCTCCTGGGGTTTCCAACATGGTATCACTACAGAATTAGATTGCCCAACCTTCCTTCTGAGGAGCTGCTGGTGGGTTTGAACTGCTAGCTTTCTGGTTAGCAGTCAAGTGCCACCTAATGAGGTTGATATTAGTATACCCGTTTTGTAGATGAGGAAACAAACACTGAAGTTAGATTGCTTGTCCATGGTCCACACGCTGAGATCTGGAGTCTGAATGGAGGTTTTTGGCCTATTTATTCCATTCTGCTCAGGTATCTCTAGTGACTGTGTATATAGAGAGCCTTAGAGTTCTTGCCTTGAGGGAGGGATTGACCTAGAGCTAGAAATTGATTTGGGACAATCTGAATTGAGGATGATCTTGAACTTGTTTCCTTTTCAAATGAATTGACCACCAGAAAACTGTCCTCAGAGCCCCTCTATTGGGTAAAGAGATCCCGGGATCTTGTCTAAACCTGTAGACCTGAGCCTCCACAAACACTCTGTCCCTCCAGGTCCTGTGCCTCATCACCGCCCCCGTCACCATGATTCTCTCCAGCCAGCAGGATGCAGCCTTTGCCTTCGCCTCTCTTGCCATCGTCTTCTCTTCCTATATTACTCTGGTTGTGCTCTTTGTGCCCAAGGTGAGGCTCTGGGTTAGCTCTCACCCTCTCCGGTTCCTTATCTGCTCTGTCCCTTCTTCCCTAGTTTCTGTTCCTCTGCCCTTCCCTGCCCCTTCTTTCCATATCTTCCTTTGTTGTAGACCTGATTTACCCCTCCTAATTTTCATCCCCTCAAATTCTAACCCATTGCCTGCTAATTTTTGACTCCATCACTGTTTGGCCGCCCCATGCCCCAAACAATTGCCCCAGATGCGCAGATTGATCACTCGAGGGGAATGGCAGTCTGAAGCACAGGACACCATGAAGACAGGATCATCAACTAACAACAATGAGGAGGAGAAGTCCCGGCTCTTGGAGAAGGAGAACCGTGAACTGGAAAAGATCATTGCTGAGGTATGCGTGTGCCGGGAGGGTGAAGTGGTGGAGGGCCCAGGAGGGCCCATCTTGTATGTTGGGGTTTTCTGAAGCAGAGCTTGAGATAGCTTGAGATTGCTCATGACTTATTGTGCAGGGAAGGTTTTAGGAACTCAAGAGCAAACCTGCAAGTAGGGGAGTGGACCAGGATAGGGAAGGGGAGGGGTCCAATGAGGATTCAGTCTCAGGTAAAATCTAGTGTTAGCCTGACCTCGTGCCTGGGTAGGAGCTCTAGAGCATGACTCAACTGCTGACGACCCTTTGAGGAAGGACGCCAGCCTTAAACAGGCTTGGGGGGCAGTTGTGAGCCATTAGCAAAGCAGCCAACACTCCCTGGAGGTGGATGGTGAGTCCATTGCCCTGCAAAGGGAATCTGGGTGAGCATCCCCATGTCCACAGCACAAAGACTGTAGTTAGGGGTCAGTTGGCTTTGCAAAGAAGTGTATGATTTATTAGAACTTTTCTCCCTTCTCTCATTTTCTCCTCTTGTTTTCTTCCATCATATTTTTCCAATCTCATTTTTTCTACTGGTTCCCCCATTCTGTTCTTTTGGCTTTCCTTGAACCTTTCCTAATTCCTCCTTTTAATTTTTTCTGTCCATCTACTCCTGTATCTTGCTCACACATTCTCCCATGCCATTTCCACTCTCCCTCCTCCCTGCCCCCTTATCACTCCCATCCTCCCACTCTCTCAATTGTTTTTCTTCCTCCAGAAAGAGGAGCGAGTCTCTGAACTGCGCCATCAGCTCCAGTCTCGGCAGCAGCTCCGCTCCCGACGCCACCCGCCAACACCTCCGGACCCCTCTGGGAGCCTTCCCAGGGGCCCTTCTGAGCCCCCTGACCGGCTTAGCTGTGATGGGAGTCGGGTTCATTTGCTTTACAAGTGAGGGAGGTGTGAAGGAGGACAGGCCAGTGGGGGTGGGCGAGGGATGAGGGGAGGGGTGAGGGACTCAGGAGGAGCAGGGGATCCTTATCCCCAGTGAGGAAAGACATGCTATCCAATCTCATCACTTGTAAATACATAATCCTGTGTGAGCCCTGGGGTTACCTATGTCTCCAGTACTCTGGGAAACAGACCTTTTCTCCCTTAGTCATTAATGTAATTTTCTATCACTGCTTCATAATTTACTTTGTACCTTGCTAAAGCTGCTCACTCACTGACTTCTCAGCAACCTCACTACATCGTTCTCTTCTCATATAGCACTCCTGTCTAGTTACCATGGCATCTCCCAAAGCAACCTTTGCCTTTGTGCTCTGCTTCCATCCAGCAGGGGTCTTCCCACAAGTGCTCTTTCACCCCAACAGGGCCCTCACCTGTCTATCACCATCACCATCACCTTCCATCCTACTTGCCCCTCTGCACATTCCCTAAGTTTGTCCCCCTGACTTTTGTATCTTCTGGGGATTCATTCTTTGTGCCAAGGCTCACATGCTCCTTCCCTCTGCTCTTTGCATGCTTGCACTCCCAACACACATGCATTCTTCTCCTCTTTGTTCCCACCAGACATACTCACGTGCACATGTGCTTTTCACATATGCTGCCTGCAGTCACATGAACTCCCTGCAAACCTTCCAGTCATAGCTATGTGTGCTTCTTGTGTGGTCACAGGTATTCCTTCGTGTGTATTTGGGTAGACGTGTGCAATTTCTCTAACATGCTTAGTCATATCTTCCCTACCTGCACTCATCCATGTGTATCTATGTATTTCCCTATGTACCCTCATGGTACTTATGTACCTTACTTCCTCAGCACCTTAAAATCATTGTGTCTTTCCAACAGAGCCCTAGGCACCTGCTCTGCACCTTGTTATGCACTTTTCCCCAATTGTTGTTTGGTGAGGCTGTCCACACCCTCTTCTCATCACATTCAGCTTCTGCTCAAACTTTTCTCACTTTTTTGAACCCGTGTACCACTCTTAGTCCATACTCACAGTCATTCTCTCCTAAAATTGCTCCCTTTGGTTGTGTGGTTTTTGGGGGCATTGAGGAAGGTATGGGGGCAGATTTGAGGAACTGCTTCCAGTGGATAGTTGATGAGAATTCTGACCAAAGGAAGGCACCCCTGACTGCTGGGATGGACAGACCTGTGGAGAAGGGGGTAGTGTCTCTTTCACACTGTGGTGTTTTTTTGGCAAAGGATTTCCCAAAATCCTCAATAAACCGGTGAACAGTGTGACTCAGCACCTTGTCTTCCCTCACTGCAAACAGAGCAGGCTTCAATCCAAGGAGGGAGGAATGGAGGGCTCCAAGTTAATGAAAAGGCATTGAAGTGGAGGGGTGGAAGCAGGTGTTTTATTGATCCATTGAGGGTATAGCGAGGCAAAGTATGACACAATTAGGACTATGAATAGGGAGTGGGACATTAGTGGTTAAAAGTGTGGACTCTGGAGTCAGACTGACAGGGTGTCAGACTCCATCAGATACAAAAAGTTCCCAAATCTCTGTATCTCTTGTCCTCATCTGTGTGGTGGTCCCTGGGTGGTAGAAACAAGCTCTCGACTACTGGCTGAAAGGTTGATGGTTCAAACTTACACAGAGGCACCTTGGAAGACAGGCCTGGTGATTTTTTTTTTTTTTTAATTTTTTATTGTGTTTTGGGTGAAAGTTTACAGAGCAAATTCACTTTCCATATAGCAGCTCACATATACTTCGACTCATGACATTGACTGAAGTTTCCCACAATCAAACAGCTACCCTCCCACTTCCTCCCCACAGTTACCTCTTCCCTGTGTCCTTCCCTTTTATGTACTTCTGCGCCTGAGCTGTCTCCTTGTGCGTACACAGCCCTTTTAATCTCCCATGATTGATCTCTGAAAGGAGTGTATTTACCTAATGTAAATGTTCAGCTCATATGCCTGCTGGTGATCTACTTTTGAAAGGTCACAGCCTTGAAAATTGTGGAGCAGTTCTACTCTGCACACATTGGTTCATTATGAGTCAGAATTAATGGCAGCTAATAACATCTGTAGGAGCTCTGGTAGCATAAGAGATAGCAAGTCTAAGGCACTTGACTGCTAACCAGAAAGCTGGCGGTTCAAACCCTCTAGCCACTTCTCGGAAGGAAGGTTGGGCAATCTACTTCTGTATTGATACCGCCTCAGAAACACAAGGAGGGGTCGCTGTGAATCGGGTTCGACTCGACGGCACACAACAATAACATCTGTACAGATGTGGTAATAATGCTAATAATAATAAGAGCAGCAGCACCTTCTATAGAATGCATGTAAGGATTAGATTAAACATACATTCAGATGTTTAGACCAGTGCTTAGCCTGTAATATACGTTGGGTGAATATTGTCTGCTGTCACTACTATTTTAATAAGAATTCACTGATAAGGATAGGTACATGTTGGGAGCCAAGAGCATGAGGCTGAGCAGATGTGAGGATTCTCCTTTCTAGGAACTGAAAAAAAAATAAGAGTCATTCCAACCTTTAAAGTCTTTGCCTACATGCTTTGGGCATCTTGGAAAGAATTGTCTAGCAGAATGAAAGTAAGTATTGAATGACCAAAGGAGAAAACACTGAGGTATTTTATAATTCTTTATCTTCTTGAAGAAGTGTTTTTTTTTAAAAAAAAAAAAAAAAAACTTTTTTCCTTTGGCACTGATTTTTAAGTGACTCACCTTTTTTTTTTTTTTTTTGCAAGAGAGCTAGCTGTAAGGGTTGGATGGGCCTTATCATTTCATCATCTTGTTTAAAAGCCAATTTCTGAAGTTCTATTAGACCAGTACTTGAAAAACATTCCATTGTGATTATCCACCTTGGACCAATTGAATTTGAGTTTCCCCTCTTTCCACAGTGGAATATCCTCAAAGAAGGGGCAAGAGGCCTATGAAGTAGATAAACCTGCAGTGTGGAAAGTGAGTAGTTGACTTCAGAAGCAGCAGCAGGAGCTATAGAACCACCCTGGATAGAACTTTGTTGTTATGTGCCGTCAAGTCGGCCCCGACTCATAATGACCCCTCCTTGGGTTTCCGAGGAAGTATCACTACAGAAGTAGGATAGCCCAACCTTCCTTCCAAGGAGTGGCTGGTGGGTTTGAACCACCAGCCTTCTGGTTAGCTGTCAAGTGCCTTAGGCACTATGCTACCAGAGCTCCTGGATAGAACTTTAAAGACCAAAATAATAACCTCAAACTTTCTTTGCCACTAAAACAAAAACAATCAACTGCCATTGAACCAAGTCCAACTCGGCAACCCCTCCTTGGGTTTCCGAGGCAGTATCACTATGGAAGTAGATTGCCCACCCTTCCTTCCGAGGAGTAGATGGTGGGTTTGAACCACCAGCCTTCTGGTTAGCAGTCAGTGCCTTAGGCACTATGCCTTAAATGATAAGCAGAGGGTCAGAATTTCTACTGTGACTGAGAGTGATCCAGACAGTCTGCTGTTAGGGAATGCAGGAACCAAGTCAGATGGCAGGGATGGAGAGACCTCTGATGCCACAGGATATGTTGCCAGGTGGGAGACCACCCCAGAGGGCTGGAAGGAGTTGCTTCCCTTACCACCTGTGAGGCTGACTTTGCTCTCTCCATTCCTGCCAGGGTGATCCAACTTTAGGCTTCAGATGTCTTTCTGACTGATTGCTTACTGCCCAGTAGGCATCTTAAAACAGGGCGCATCAGAGGTGATCTGTTCTGAGGAAATGGCTGTCCTTACTCACATTGTGGACTTCAGACTGCCTGCCAGACCTTGATGTTCCCACTCACCTCTAGCTTGGCCTCTTGCCTCCCTGTCCTAGTCTCACTTGCCAATACAGAGCATTTAGTGAGTACTTGGCTCCATGTTGGTTTTGTTACATCTTCAATCAATCAACAAAATGTTGATTAAGCACTTGGTATATGGCAGTTAACTCTTCTAGACACTAGGGTTACAGCAGTGAGCAAGGTAGGCTTTCATAAGACGTGTGTTCTCAAGATAGGAAGATGGATCAGTAAAGAGATAAATAAGATAGCTTTAGAGAGCAATCAGGAGAGTTGTGTATTAAGGTTCTCCAGAGGTAGAGAACCAATTGTGTGTGTGTGTGTGTGTGTATGCACACTCTAGATAGACAGATGATAGATAGATACAGAAAGATTGATTAGGACAGGCTGCCAGACTGGAAACTCAGAATTTCTTCTCTGGGAAACCTCAGTTTTTGCTATTAAAGCCTTCAGCTGATTTGATGAGGCCCACCCACATTGTGGAGGGTTATCTATTTAAAGTCAGCTGATTGTAGATGTTAACCACATCCATAACATCTAGATTCATGCTTGATTAAATAGGCACTATAGCTTAGCCACATTGACACATAAGATTAACCATCACAGCATCTTACAGTCATTAGCTGTGATGCTCAAGACAGCCCTGCAAGGAAAAGGTGTTGCATGCTCATTATCTGGCAAAGAGATTGTGGCTTAGGGAGAGGATTAATCTTGTCCAGTGTCACACAGCTAATAAGGAATATAGCCAGCATTCAAACTGGGTGTTATTAGTCATCTGTTGTATAATCTATTACTCTAACACTTACTGGCTTAAAATGACAGTAATCATTATCTCATGGTTTTTGTAGGTCAGGAATTCATATAGGGTGCTGTGAGAACAGTTTAAGGAGCTCTGGTGGTGCAGTGCCTAAGGCATTTGACTGTTAACCAGAAGGTTGGCTGTTCAAACCCACTAGCTGCTCCATGAAGGAAAGATGGGACAATCTGCTTCTGTAAAGATTTACTGCCTTGGAAACCCAGTGGGAGTCATTATTAGTTGGAACTGGCTTGATGGCAGTGAGTTTTGTTTTTTTGGAGAACAGTTTATCCCTCCTCCACAATATCTGGAAGATTTGAAGTCAGAGCTGGAGTCAGCATTCTACTTACGGAGTTTAAGGTCCTTCACTCATGTCTAAAGGTGGATACTGGCTGGCAGTTGAGACTTCATTTGGGGCTATCTGCTGGAATACATACACATGGTTTGGGATTACTCATGACAGGGTGATTGAGTTCCAAAGATGAGGGTCCCCAGAGATTGAGGGGAGAGAGCCAGCAAGAAAGAAGCTGTATGTTTTTTTCTGACAGCTTTGCAAGTCACCTAGCATCACATCTGCCATGCTCCATTTGTTGGAGTGGTCACAGAGCCCTGCCTACTTTCAAAGGGTGGGAACATAGACCCCACCTTTTGATGGGATGAATGAGATGAGATGAATATGCTGTTTGCAGCCTTTTTGGGAAAAAACAGTCTGCCAGGTCTCATATGTCTGTTCCAAATCCTCGGAGATCACCCCGGTCTATTCATTGGCGTTCAGCCTCTTAGGAGGCTTTTGGTTTCTTCTGGGTGTTTCAAGGCCACTTGTAGTTCCACACCTGCCCTTTCTGCCTGAACTGTTGAAGACAACTGTGATGGTTATGGTTAGGCCATAGATTACTTAGTGACTTGGCAGATACTATGTAATCATCTTCCATTTTGTGATCTGACCGAGTTACAAATCAGATGAAAGGAGAGTTTCCTTGGGTGTGTGGCCCGTATCCAGTATATATGGATGGTCTGGCAAAGTTCTTTCTTAATCTTGCATCCAAATCATCATCCTCTGACTTCTGTTTTTTGGGACATGAGCCAGTAACCTGCTGCCTTACCTGCAAATTTTGGGATTCACCAGCTCCTCCAACCATATGAGTCAGGGGAAGCCCCCAGCCTGATGTCTGACCCATAGATTTGGAACTTGCTAGCCTTCACAAGTGCATGAATTATTTCCTTGAAATATATTTTTATATTCACTCCACTGGTTTTGCTTCTCTAGAGAACCCAGCTTAGGCATTTGGTACTAAGTGTGGCTCTGGAGGAACAAAAATCATAAGGATGGGTTTTCTGAATTGGTTCTCAAGTCTGGCTAGTCTTAAAGTGCTGCTGCTGCTGACTCCGTCTCCAATAGAAAAGAGCATGCTGCTACTCTGTGGCATGAGGTGGCAATGGAAATTGTAAAATATCACCACCAGTGGATCACGTATTTGTGAGAAGCAAAGCTCTGATTGTGTATTTGATACTTCTCTACAATTTTGTCAGAATGAGAAGTATAAGGAAGATGCTTGGTTTGTCCTATTTTCACTAGAAAAAGTGGTGAAAGGGGTGAGCTCAGAGCTTCAGAGTCACAGTTGTCCCACATACAAGATCTGAAAGTTGCTACTTGTGCCCTGAAAGAAAGCCTTATTTCTTGTAATA